GCCTCTTATGAGTGAACTGTATGCAGGGTTAGGTGATTTTGACCACTAAAAGTTTTCAAATTGTTCTTTAGATCATAGTCCATCACAAAGTAGTAAAGCAATCCAATCCTCACCCATCATAGGCTACTAATGGAAATGATTAAATTTGAGTGGAAGTATTTCGTTAGCCATTACAGATATTATTATCTCACGAGAGCGTAGGTACTTTACTTCCTCTTAAGAGGGACAGAGCCCGGGTATAAAGCTCATGTAATGCAAATGCATGTGATAGTGTGTGTGAAGGAACATATAGGTTTCATGCCCCAAAAATAAAAGATAAAAAAGACAAAAACGTTAGTAAACATATAACACAAATCATTACAATTTAAAACCATTAGACCAAAGGATAAATTTAAAAGTTTATGGCTTGACTCTCTAGCATCTCTAGTGGAGTTGCCATACTATCATAATATATAGATCCATAAATTTATAGTTAGACTTAACAAATGGATGGAGTCGCCACCAAATCTTTTTATCTAGGTGTGATTGGCCACCTAAGGAATCTATCTTTTAAAGGAGCTCTTAAGCTTGAGTAAAAGTCCTTCAAAGAATAGGTTCGGGTCTACTAACCAGAATAGGATTTGAGAGTTCGCTTACATGTAAGGAAGGTTATAGCACCCCCACATACGCATCCAAATCATGGTACCATATTATTTTAAATTCATCATAGGGTCTTGGTTCTAATGGATTCAAATTTTTTATGTTGAATATTGAAAATAATTCTTAAAACTCTCCCATCAATCTGATAAAATTCTTAAAAATATTTTCTCACCTCAAAAGTATTCAAGAATCTCATTTGATATCTTGAAGAGACTTCGTCATCGAAAAAATATTTAATTATTTATTTTATTATCGAAAATATATCTAATTATTCACCATTTGGGCCAAATTAGAAATATTTTTTGTTTTGAAATTCTAAATTTTTCACCATTCAGACCTATTTAGAAATGTTTTTATTTATTTTTTTTGGATTTCTAAATTTTCTAGAATTTTGGTCAATTTAAAAATATTTTCTTTTTCAGAATTTCTAAATTTTCCACCATTTGGGCATATTTAAAAAATTTTTATTATTTTTCTTTTTTTTTGTTTTCGGAAAGAAAATAATATGATAAATATTTTTTATTGAAATTTCATTTAAATTCTTCCACCATTTGGGATAAATTTAAATAAATTTCTAACCTAGAGATTTTTTAAAAAATTTACCATTTGAAATTTTTAAAAATCCCATCCTTGGATAATTGTCAAATATTTTTAACCAAAATTTTTTATTTTTTTTGGTTTTTTTTAATTTTTCTCTCTCTTTTTTTTTTGTTTGTTTGAAAATAAATATTAATTATTTTTATTAAAATTTTATCTAAATTATTCCACCATTTGAGACAAATTTAGAAAGAAAATTCTCACCTAGAAAATTTATAGAAATTTATCATTTAAAATTTCTATAAATTTCATTATTGGATAATTAATATTTATTCTTAAAATTTATTTTATATTTTTCCTAAACTTAATCATGCAAAAATACCCTTAAAGTAAACAAATACATAAATAAAGACAAATAAAAAAATAAGTAAAAAATACAAAAAGAAAACAAAACGTCTTGGCTCAAGGGATACGACGCGGTCGGCTCTAGGCACAAAAAAACGGCTCAGGGGACGCTACTTGACGGCTCAGCTCGGCTCAAAAGATCGGCTGGTAAGCGGGTCAAACACGATTCAAAAGCGGGTTGTGCTACGGGTTGGGTCGTCCGAATGTAAACGCATAGATCTTGGTGGGTATCTTAATGTCAAAACGATGTCGTTTTACAATGATATAAAAGGCCAAGTTTCAGCCTTTTCCCTTGAATTTTCACTCATTTTCTTTCTCTTTCCCCTTCTTTTCTTTTTCTTTCTCTCTAGAAACTGAGAAACTCTAGTTAAATCTTCATCGAATTCTGAAAAAAGTCATCAGAATCTGGGTAGGTTCGTCGGACGTTCATCAAAAAATTCAAGTTGGCTAGCATCTTCAATCGGATTTTGAGATGCTTGTTGAAAAATTTAACCGACGCCAAAAAACTTACCAAAAAATTCAACTAGAGCCAAAAAATTTTGCAGGAATCTAAAAATTTTCTAGAAAATTTCCAGAAAAAAAATTTTTTAACCAAAAAAAACTCAAAAATTTTTTTTTGACTGCTTGCTGTGTTTTATTTTTTCTGTTTTTTATCTATTTTTTTTATATTTGTGTGATCTGTGTGGGTATATTTTTATAGGGTTTTGAATCTGAGAACTCAAATCCAAAAAAAAATCTTAATTTCCTTTGAATTCTAACCTTAAATCCAACTCTAACTTTACAAACCAATTTTAATAATTTCATATAAACTCAATTACCTATTTTTTAATTTTTATTTTTTATTTTTTTATTAATAAAATTAACCCAAGTAAAACCTCAAACGGATTGGGCTGTTTATAATGTGATAGTGTATAATACATTGATATTATATTATATTTATATACTGGTAATTTATCTAATATAAAAACATGTAATACGTTGAATTTGTCAAATCCTAATTGAAGTTTGAAGTATAAAGCATTGACAATGTCCGTTTCATCAGGGTATCTAATTATTTAACCTCCCATGGGGATTATAGGGATTTAGGTTCAACTTCGAAAAGGTTGGTTTGGTCCAGCATCAACAAGTTAATAAATTTATTTTGATATTAAGCTCTCCGATCTCCTTTTCGTTGTGAACAATGTTCCACACAAGCATTTCTGATTTGAATTGACCCAGCAGTCCGCTGAACTTGTGGCATGCATGATGAGGTTATGTTGTTAGTCGTCAAATTAGTTGTGATTATTGGAGTAATTTTGTTTTACAAATGTGTATAGGCTCTAATCGAATGCTGTTTTAATTAATCTGATTAAAAATTTCTACTCAACAGCTAAATATCAATCAAATTACTAGTCTATTAAACTTTTGCATGATAATTACCGCAAGCACAGAAAGGCTTATAACCAATTCTTTCCAGTTTATTAACCTATACTACAATTACCGACGGCCCAAACACAGAGAGGCCTACATACAGGAACAGAAAGCAATATCATTTATTAGTCGATCAATGATTAATGATCCAAATCCAATAAATATAATTACCCCAAAATTTAACATTAAATTCTTCCATAATATAAAGACATCCATAATGATTTTATTTCAGCAAAATCTGTTACTTGCTATTGCTCTTCCACTGGCCACGAAGTTTTTGGTAAAAGATTTGTTGATGTGATGTCTACTGAGATAATAGCTATATACAGCGAAGAAGAAGGTAGACATGTATAATTAGAATAGACATTTTCATTTCTAATTTTAAGTAAATACTTTATCTCGTGACTTAAATCACACGAGTAAGTATTATATAATACAAAGAGCTACAGAAAAGAAGAGATTGCTCTATAATTGATAATATCCTAAATGAGTAATTATCAGTATGGAAAATATTACAAAAGGGGGAAATTCTCTTTTTAACTTTATTTTTCTCAAGTGCAAAGACTCCTCAGGATCACACAGTCCCCATACTCTTATTGTTGCAATACTAACACTGAATTTGCACCCTTAAAACGTGGCCAACGAGGTATCTCTCCAACTTCCCCCTAACAATATATAGTTCATGCTCAATGCATTTCCTGATCTCATTCATCCACCATGATTC